TGAACCAATATCGGCTACTGGTTAATTAAGGAAGAACACCAACACCGAATTGTATATATAATAAGTGGTGGTCCTGAAAAGGACCGTTTTATAAGGAATATTTGAATACTGTGAATATAAATAAAACCATGTCCTACACGCGGAATTACTTCTTCTTAGACGACGCACTCTTCTTGATCGGAGATTTTTTAGGTTTAACTGCCTTGGGTTTAGCTACTGCTGGTTTTTTCGGTTTGGTCGGCGACTTCTTCGGCTTAGCATTAGTTGCTTTGGATTTGACGGGTGCGACAGCCTTCTTCGATTTCTTAGCTGCAGGTTCTCCGGAAGCGGGTTTTACTTTTTTCGGTGCCGCAGTAACCTTCTTCTTCTTCGGTGTTGCAGCTGCTTTGACTTTCTTTGCAGCCGGAGTAGCCTTTTTTTTCGCAGCGACTTTCTTGGGCTTGACTTCGGCTACGGGCAACTTGAAATGTCCTGATGCTCCGGTTCCTTTGGTCTGTACAATCGTTCCGTTGATGACGGCAGCCTTCAAAAACTTCCTGATATACGGTGCGAACTTGGCCGGATCGATTTTGTAGTTGGCAGCTAAATATTTTTTAATAGCCGGCAACGAAGAGCCTTTTTTCTCATTCAGTCCCTTGATGGCAGAAGTGACCATAACGGCAGTTGTCGGATGAGCGGACGCAGTTTTCGGACTTTTGGACGTTCCCGCCGTCTTCTTCTTCACGGGCACTTTTTTGGCGGTCGGAGAAGCGGTAACCGGCACTGGACTGGCGACGGTATCGGTCATGTTTATGCTGCTTACGGTTGTCGGAACAGGCGTTTAAAACACAGGTATTCAGTATTAGTAGTATACTGGGTGAAGAGGTGCTGTTAATTTATATAACTGACCGTACCGACTAGTAAACTACGAAATACGTAGTCGTCCACTTGACTATAGTTGTTCGTACGTTTTTAACGATTTATTTTTCACTAATCCACTAAGGACTTTCGTATTAATCTTTACGAAAAACTTACTAAATATTGAATGTCTCGAAAACAATTTTGAACCGATGTCTAATACCCATAGGCAACTGTTCATCGTTATTTCAAGACGTTTACTCGTGTTTCCGTAGACTTTACATAAAAGTCCGTAGAAAGTTCGATTTGACTCAGAAATCATGGAAACTTGTCAAAACGCGTTTTTAACTAGTTTTCGGGTGCGTTCATGTTTACAGAACAATCGATAGTCATAATGTCATCGAGCAGAAGCACTTTGAAAATGATGACTTGGAGTCGATTATAAAGTGTCACATACGTGTCAGCGAGAAAACATATTATGACAGATTGTCACAAAAAATCACTTTCCAGCCTAAACTTCCTCTTAAGTCTTGAAATTATGTAATAGTAACACCGGTTTACATATTTTAACTCCGATATCGGAGTACCTGTATATCATTCATTTGTAAATCGTACAATTACGAATCAGCTCTGTTCGGTGTACGTAAACAGCCGTTTACTACGAAATAAAAAGTAAAACCATAAAAATGATGTACTATTATAATTACTAAGATACTATCAACAGGCTCAAGCCTAAGTTATGAAATATGTCGAGCACGCTCACCTCTCAACAACTGATATGCATCTGAAAACGAATTTATAACGAAGAAAACGTGCGCACATGATGAATTACATATACAACCACACATGCATAATTGTGTGGACCAAACTACCAACAGTACATGCCCAGTGTGGTTATAACTTTTTGTGTAAAACTTACAACTTAACTACATTCTTATTGTATTATTACAGTAAAAGAGAAATTAATGTGTTGTGAAAGATGTGCAGGACACTGCGTTAGTTGTACATACTAAAATTACACGAAACGGCCGCACGTCCGTAGACAATGTTTCATATTCCCGTGGATTTTGAAAATCAGATAAAATAAAATTTATATTTATAATTTATATTTACCTAACCTAACCCACGAAATTATGTATGCAGGGGCGGATTGGCAATTATTTTCGACTCATGAACCGCAAATTAAATTATTTTAGTCCTCCCCTTCTCAAAAAAATGCTTTATTTTGCATCAATTTCAAAATTTGTTTAGTTTCACTCCTAAATTAGTAAAATCTACAATAACTTTACTATAATTATAGCTATAATAGTTTTGTGTAAGTTACATGATTAATCAGTTCCAACTTGAACTTGAAGTTTGATCTTAATGCATCTTTAAATATATATTTATTTTTTTTAATGATTTTTATTTATTTTATAAAATAAAACTTTTTTTTGGGAATTATATAATAATATAGAGCGGCCCATCGAGAAGATTACTGATTTCCCGATAGGCCAATCCGCCCCTGGATTTATGTACATAGGTATGGTGGCATACGGTTATATTATTTATCATAGGTATGTAAAATGTGAGCACTTTATTTTCGATACCGATCACACCGCCTAGTAATAATTTATATCGCTGAAAGGTAGTGTCGAATGGACTAACAGAAAATGTATACATTTTCAATGTAATTGTTGAAAAACGCCTAATCCTAATCGTCGTTTAAGGAAGGCATTTAAATTCTATATGTAATGCAAAGAAATTTTAAATGCTACGATTTTGGATTAATGAATTTAAAGTTTAGTTTTGAATCTGATGTTGCACGTGATCGGACGGGATTTACTTCGTGTTGCTACCTATCTATTAGGTATTGTAAACATCAATTTTATTAGGCACGTGTGTACGTAACATGACTGCGTGATATTAAAATTTGAAGATATACCAACGAGTGTTATGCAATTTTAAGTAACTATTTGGTATGATGTAGTAAATCATACTGTACAACACAAACATGATTTCCGAGGAAACATCGATGGCTGAGAACACTTTATAGGTAGTCATAATTAGTTTTCATAGTATGCACTAGTATAACGTTAACGATACACGTATATAATGAAAACTAATATGACTTGACTTTCGAGTCACTAAATTACTACAATTAGTAAATTACCAAATTACTACGGATTTTTACGTTTGAATGGATCGAATTCACGTATCCACTAGTGATGGGCATAATCAAGATATACAATCGAGATATCTCGATTATAAAAATAATAATTCGATTATATACCGGAGAGATTATTTCGAGTGATATCTCGTTTATTTTAAACACAAACAATCAAATCTTGTTCTCGAAATGTATATCGAATGAAAAAATATTTCGAATGATTTTCGTGGAACGAAAGATGGAGGGAAGAATACTATTTTTAATCTTCATAATCGAATAAGTAAATACTAGTTGTTCACTTTGAGTCTTTGTAACTTCGACTCGTGCTACTCGTGGGACTGGTCGTTAGACAAATATTGTTAGTATATTCGTAACGAATATTCTTAGTTATTTATATTTTAAAATTTGACATAAGTATATAGCTATGATTTTTGAATTAGTTGACCACAAAACAACAAAAAATTCTTAGAACGTTTACAAATAAAATTATATACCAAACTACCCATCAGTAATCATCACCACGTTCTCGATTATAAAAATAATAATGTTTCGAATACTCGGTGGTTATGCTCGTCACGAATAATTCCACCTCTTGTTTTACACAAGAAATATTATTTATACCCAACGGTCCCACAAATATTGGTGGCCCTGAAAAGGGCCGTTTTAGAATATAAAATTATATTAAACACGAATTAACCTCCGAATCCGTACAATGTACGTCCTTGACGTTTCAGAGCGTAGACAACATCCATAGCAGTAACCGTCTTCCTCTTGGCGTGTTCGGTATAGGTGACGGCGTCACGGATTACGTTTTCCAGAAACACCTTCAACACTCCACGGGTTTCCTCGTAAATCAAACCAGAAATACGCTTGACACCTCCACGACGGGCTAACCGACGAATGGCTGGCTTAGTAATACCTTGGATATTGTCACGGAGCACTTTACGATGACGCTTGGCTCCTCCTTTTCCCAAACCTTTTCCTCCTTTACCACGTCCGGTCATGTTGCCACTCTTCCGTAATATAGACTAGTTGTTTAGTTGAAAGTACGATTGTAATATGAACGAATTAAGGAATGTAATGTGAATATAAACCATTTTTGTTGATCGAACGGCCAATTGGAACGCATAACCAACTCGCCCCCTCCAAAATGAAAACATTACTATACCGACCAATCATGTTGACGTATTATGTTCTCATTTTTGTATATAAACCAGACATAAGAAATTTCTCGACATCAACCGAAGTTCCTAATATTCGTATTGTTAACCGTAAAGCAACTCTCAAACAACGACATGGCTCGTACCAAGCAAACCGCCCGCAAGTCGACCGGAGGAAAGGCTCCCAGGAAACAGTTGGCCACCAAAGCCGCCCGTAAGAGCGCACCAGCCACCGGTGGAGTGAAGAAACCGCATCGTTACCGTCCGGGAACCGTTGCTCTCCGTGAGATCCGTCGTTACCAGAAGAGCACGGAATTGTTGATCCGCAAACTGCCTTTCCAACGGCTGGTCCGTGAGATCGCCCAGGATTTCAAGACCGACCTGCGTTTCCAGAGCTCTGCCGTCATGGCTTTGCAAGAGGCTAGCGAAGCATACTTGGTCGGTCTTTTCGAAGACACTAACTTGTGCGCCATCCACGCCAAGCGAGTTACCATCATGCCTAAAGACATTCAGTTGGCTCGTCGTATCCGCGGAGAACGTGCTTAATCAAGTCTGATATAATATATAATATATTCCCTAATCCGTTTTTAAAAAGGCCCTTTTCAGGGCCCATAAGTTAACAAAATACGTACACGATACATACAGAGTATCATCAATTAATTCAGCAGTTAATCACAAGTCTCTGATAAAGAAGAACATAATTATTCCGTAAAAATTTTTTTATAATGATTAATTCATGACACAACGTAAAATTAATTAATAATGAAATTAACAGAAAACAAGGAAATAATATATTCTTTTTTAATTTTTATTACTTAATACGATGGTTGAGACACATGATTTATTTCATCGTTTAATGATAAAATCCATCTATTATTAATAAAAAAAAATATATGAAAAAAATAATTATATTAATCCAACAATATTATAACAAGGCACTCATGTCAGATATTGATGTACATATGTTATGTGCTGCCGCGGACCCAGGTTAAAAACCACTGCGTTACACTATTTTTAATCGGTAATATTTCCGCGAATTTTCTGAGAAATCAATAGATTGCGTTAGATAGACTTTATAAAATAAATATTGTTTTTCCTAGATAATAAATCCTATATTTTTTAAAATAGTCTCGCTTTAACCACTATAGATAAACATTGGGTTTTACTCTTATTATTATCGTCATATTCCTGAGAAACAGAAAATACTGTTGTATAATATTTTTATTGCGTACTAATTTATGTTTATTGACAATAATCACTGCGGACTAAGAAGTCCTTGTGATCAGTTGCGACATTGTTAATAGTTGACGAATGTTTTCACAGTCGCATGTTTATCGTTTATAATTTATTCTTTTCACTCGTTCAACTTTAGTTTGCTATTTTGATTAAGCTTACTCGTTTATTTTTCAATTATGAAATTAATAAATAATCAAATTTAAACAATCTTGAGATCGGAAATATTTTAATCAAAATCCCTGGCGATAATGATTCTAACTGATATCGAAAACGAAAACGACGATGATGATGACTAATTGGTCAAGGAAAGAAATTATTTGGTCTCATTAGATATAAACACGAATAATTAATAATAATAATTTTTTAAAGTTATTAAAAATCATTTAAATAATAGAAGTTTTATTATGTTATGAGCTATGAATATTTCTATATATATATATATATATATATATTAAACATTGAACGCACTCCAGTTTTTAACTACAGTAAAAAAAAGTTGACCATATAGTTTTTAATGCTATAACAATTTTCATACAGTTAATATTGTTGATTATTTAAATGTTTATGTTTATGTTTATTAAAATTATTTAATACATGAACTGTATTAAAATTTAACATTGTTATTATATTTTTAAACCGTAATTGGTACAGTGCGGTGTGTGACATACCGCTTCATTTGATAACAATATTTGGACCGATTTTTTGAACTGCGGACACTTAACGGTGTTGAATTGGACATCAGTGGTGTATTTACGGGGGGGGGGGGGGGTGGGGGGGTAGACCCCCCCTTGCCCTTTTTTTTTTTCCTAGGTAGCTTTAAGTTGTCTCATTTTCTCTAATATTCTTAATATGATATTACTTTCAAGCATGTATGTTTTCTGTTTTCTAAATGTTCTAGTCGTGGTAATTGTACCGCTCTGATAGTCTGATACACTAATCGTTTATCGTTGGCGGCATGTACGACTATCAGGCAACAAAAACTATACCTATATTATGGTGTACTGTATTTTGTACGTTTCTGCGAATTATTTTTCATGCAAGAGTGTTTATAATAAACCCGATAAGCAATCGGTAAACAAAACAAAATGATCATGAAGATCGTGGATTAACCATAGGGCGGCCGGGCGGGTTTATTTTTAGAAAATTTGTTACTAGTAGATTTATGGCTAATGTATAGCTATATATATATATATATTTTATCGTATGATATCGTGATTCGTTAAAAGTAGATATGTACGGTCGTTGGACGTTGACGGATAGCGACGCCGCGCCATTCCGAGTACTGACTTACTGCCGAATTGACTATATTGTTCGACTTTATTTTTTGCGTCTTGTAAGTTGTAACTGTGAAGTTTTAAGACAATATGAGTAATACTCAAAAACAAAACAAAACTTTTATTTTCTTATTTGAGTACAAATAAAAAAATTTGTTTGGAAAATGATGAGGTAATTATAAAGATTAATTCTTATTTTGCCTTGATCCACACTAACCTCAATAGGTAACAAGTTAGGGGATTTTAAAAATGTATATTATGTACGAATTAATGGGTGTTAGGATGTATTATTATATATTTCATCCCCCCCCCTAGCAAAATTCCTAAATACGCCACTGTTGGACATATGAGAGCAGGCGTCCGATTTTATTATATTATTTTGATGTATCATTATTAGTTTTTTTTTTTTTCTATTGTTTTCATTCCATTCATTAAATTTTTTATTCACTCTTTATATTCCTCGTCAAGAAACATATTTATATCATTATCATTTAGTTCAATGAATTTAATAAAACGTTTGTTGATAAACTTGAAATGTTAAACAAATTTTTAACGCCACACGAGTTACTAATATTAAACCGTTCCCTACGATATAAGTGTACATTAGTGATCTTGATTTGATGTGGGTAATACTCAATTTTGTGGGTAGTCAACGTATTCGGGTAGTGGGTAACCATTACCTTAAATATGGGACTAATTTGTCTCGGTACTAAAAAATTCATAAAGAACCTATTGATTTCGAATTTAAAAATTTTAAATCAAACTTCCCACCATTAGTAGAAGCGCAAGCCTGGAATAGTTCACGGCATAACCACTCCTCAAAAGCAAAGAAAAAAAATTGGTAGCATTGTGTATAAATGAAATAGTTCGCGAAATTCTTTAAAAATTTTCTGTGGATCGTTGTTTGAAATCCAGTAAATAACAAACAGCTGTTTACAAACAATTATATAAACAAATTGCCCATAAGTAGTAGTGTGAAACTATTACTACTATTGAATTATAATACTGTTGTACTAATTAGTAAAAAAATAAAATAATAGTTATAGTTAATAATTAAAAATATTTTATTAGTTCATCGAATATTACAATACTCATTGCCAAACAATAATCAGTATGATCATTAAAATTAGTGAACTACGTACACCTTAAATATAGTTTATTTGAACTATTCACAGAAATAAACTAATCTTTCAATCTCTAGTGTGGTGGCCCTGAAAAGGGCCGTTTTAATTAGGTGATAAGATATATATATATTAAACTTTCTTTTCGGTTTTCTTGGGCAAAAGAACGGCTTGGATATTAGGCAACACACCTCCTTGGGTGATTGTGACACCAGCCAACAATTTGTTCAGCTCTTCGTCGTTCCTAATGGCCAATTGCAAATGTCTTGGAATGATACGGGTCTTCTTGTTATCACGGGCAGCGTTTCCGGCCAACTCCAAAACTTCAGCGGCCAAATATTCCATTACGGCGGCCAGATATACAGGAGCACCGGCACCGACACGTTCGGCGTAGTTGCCTTTCCTCAACAAACGGTGAATACGACCGACGGGGAATTGAAGTCCGGCACGTGAAGACCTGGTCTTGGATTTGATTCCCTTGGCTTTACCTCCTTTTCCTCGTCCACTCATGATTGTAGAATTAAATTGTTTGCAATGTAAAAATGTTGAAACACTTATGACAAAATTCTCGAAGAAATTTACCAATATATACCTGAGAGACCGACAAAATGATTTAAATTTAATATACTTATGAATTTATCACACGGTAAACAAATAGATTTAATGATAGTAATTTGTTTAAAATAAGTTTTTCTTCACTAACAAATCAGGTTTTAAATCTTCTGTAAAATAGGTTTTTTATTACTATAATTTAAAAGAAAAAAAGTTATTTTACGTTGTCAAAACTTTTTTATATTTGACCAATTAAAATGATCTAATAATTTAAAATTTTCTTATATATATTGTGAATTACGTTTTACAATTTATCACAATCATAATTATTATTATTGAAATCAGAAGTTTTCACAATCAAAGTAAAATGGCTCCCGGTGGTAAGTCGGCTGGGAAAGCGATGAAGAAGTCTGGCAAAGCGCAAAAAAACATCACCAAATCGGACAAGAAGCGCAAGCCGAAAAGGAAGGAATCGTATGCTATCTACATATATAAGGTGTTGAAGCAAGTGCATCCCGACACCGGTGTTTCCTCCAAGGCGATGAGCATCATGAATAGTTTCGTCAACGACATTTTCGAACGCATCGCTGCCGAATCCAGTCGTTTGGCTCATTACAATAAGCGTTCGACCATCACCAGTCGGGAAATCCAAACCGCTGTCCGTCTCTTGTTACCCGGTGAATTGGCTAAGCATGCCGTCAGTGAAGGTACTAAGGCTGTAACCAAATACACCAGCTCTAAATAAGTAATCAATTAATCGCATACAAGCACAACACCATTCCCCCATATAACTCTTAAAACGGCTCTTTTCAGAGCCACCACATTTTTGATTATGTTTGAAAACGTATTTTATTTTTAACAAGTGTTCAACAACCACTTCGTCGAAATTAGTAATTAATTTTTTTTTTTTCATAATACAGTGAACTCATTAAGGACACGACATAATGGAAATAAATGTTGAATAATAAATTTTAATTATCTATTATTTTCAGTTATTTGTTATACGTTCAGTTATTTTCAGTTATTGTATTATTTTTATTAAATCAGTGTTATTGAATTTATGAAGATGGAAGTCAGTAACCTTGAATTTAGTTCGCGAAGATTTTTTTAAAGACAATCGACATGATAACTGTAATTCACTTAATAGGTAACTTCTTTTTTTCATTTAATTTTTCTTTGTTCTTAAAATTGTTTACAGCAATCTTGCAAATATCATAATTCTTAGTACTATGTAAGTGATTAGGTTTAGTAAATAATTTTTAATTGCTTAGATATTCATTGATAATGATGATATGATTATTGACATTGTACACAAATAGTTCCTGGTAAAATCAACACAAGAATAATGGACATTTTAATATCAGGTTAGTTTTAAAATATTTATAAAAGTACAAGAAGTACAAGTGTGTCAAGGATACAAAACTTTCTCCGTTTTGCTTTAATCAATGGCTATAGTTATTAACAATAGTGTAGGAAACAATCGAGTAACTAGATTATTAGAAATAAATAATCGAATATTAAAAGTAACTATTAAATTAGTAATTCCTACTAAAATACTAATTACTCGAACTTTAATAAGTGATAATAACTTATTATCAAGTATTATTTTATTTTACTTGTTTATTAATCACAAATATTTAATATCAAACTTGAATTCATAGAACACAAATATAATTAATTTATTACCTACTTGTCCATCATCACAAATCATATAAATCGGCGGTTCCCAAAGTGTGCGCCGCGGCACCCTGGTGTGCCGCGATGTCTGTACAGGGGCGTCGCGTCATCATGAAATATTATCTGGTCTAAAATTTTCCTTATGATTATTCATATTATGACTTGGGGAAGGGCGCCCTGATATAAATCAATAATCATTATATACCTACTTGAAATATTTCTATATTATAGGTAGTAATTACTTAATAATTTTTTTAATTTCTTGATCATTTCATTCCATATTTCTAACATTTGATTTTTAATATTTTTCGTTAATAAACTATGTATATTATTTTATTTCGTGATATTTACTTGAGTAACTTTTTGCTATAATATTTATAATAACTTCTAATTATAATTTATGATTTTGTATATTTGTAACCTATATAATATATCACAAGGGAATAAATTAAAATACCTATACCATTAGTTTAATTATCTAACTCAGCTAAGGGTTTTTATTTGAAAATAATAGGTATGATGTACTCATAGCAATATTAATACAAAAAAATTGATAGTATTTACTATGAATTTTTTTTAACAAAGTTTTTAATATTGTATAAATAAGTCTTGATTGATTTTTTAATCAATAATATTAATATTTCAATTAATTTATCCAAAAGAATATTTTGTTTTATGAAATCGTTCATAGTTGAGAAACGCTGATCTAAACCAATAAAATACAAAACAAAATAGTAACCTATACAATAAAATTATAGTTTATTACTGTATTAGTATATTATTATATACTTGTAGTATGTGCTATTAATAATTCAAGAAATTCTTCCAATCAATTTAATCAAAAATGTATTATCATTAATATTGCTGTTTGTCGGTCACAATTGTATACCACGTTATAATTTTTATTTTGTCGTCGTTCGTTTTTTTTTTTTTTTTTGTTGCTAGTGAAGCACAATTTGAACATTTTATTTCTTTAAATTTATTATTATTTTTTTGTATTCATTATTATTACTACTCTCGTCATAGTGGCACTTATCTTTTTTACTACTCAACTGAGTAAAGTAAATCCAGTTACCGATCAATTTTAGTAACCGCTTATTCATTCCTTTACCAATGTGTGTATTGTGAATTATATTCTGTATCTTTTGAGTGTCTTTGCTGTCATCTTCGTGCTCCGTGTTCAAGTGAGTTGTTTCCGGCTGTTGTTTTTTTGTATTGCAGCCAATCCATGATTCGTCCGATGTCCTCCACGTAAGTTCGCCAGTTCTCGGAGGGTGCACAGACACGTATTTAAGGAAAAACATGGTCAAAACCGAAAGAAATAAAAATAACTGAATAAGATAACTATTGACGGTAATTTAAAGATTACATATCAGAGTACAAAGTTCAGTTAGATAAACAATCTTAGTGATGACAAATCGAATAGTAGATACCCAATCTATTTGTTCACCACAACTCACAAGTGAATACTATAAATAGTGTTTTATAGTTTTGCCTTAATATAATTTTGTTTTACACTTCATATTTAAGTAGTTTATTACATTAAAAATAAACGTTATTTGTTAGTTATAAAAGATGGAATCTATCCCTGGAGGTAATTATATTTATCGTACTAATTTTAGCAATAAAATATAAGTTACTAAATATCATATAAAGTGTATAGTTATATATATTTTACATTCCGGATCAAGCGAGATCAACTTAAAATTGTAACAGATTTTAATAGTCATACTTATAACAAATATATTAAAGCAAAAAATATTTGCTAATATCTGCGATATTAGTCAAAATTAATTAAATCATATTAAAAACCTGTAAATATACAAAAAAAATATTTATAATTTTATTAAATATTTTTATATAAATTACTTATTTTATTTTTACTGCACGTAAACCTATATTTTATAGTTATTAGGATCATATTAAATCATAAATAAATTATTCTTTTAAAACTTATACTATTTAAAAATTAATTTTTTATATAGGATCTCGATGTAATGATATTGTTCTTAGTAGAAGAGACTTGTATACAATTTTAAAAGAAGGTTCAACAAAATCGAAACATCCACATGGAAATTATGAACACTTAACAAAATATATATTAGAAATTACTAAATATCCAAATGAATTACCGAAGGATATAAAAAAGGTTTAATCTTATTTTATTTCCCAGTTTAATACCAAATGGTCTGCATCATCTCGAAACGTAGATTATTTTTTAAAAAAAAATTTTGGTTGGTTGGAAACTAAAATAAGTTTTCCTATGTACAAAGCTTCTTCATTTTCTTCAAATGATATGAAAGTTAAGGGTGGAAGACCAAAAGTGGATTTCTCTAAGAGTAGTGAACGTACAAAACGTAGAAAAACTCAATTATTAAGGTCCGAGGTAGGTTCTTTAGAATTATCTTATGCGGCTCAGATGAGTCTCCGTGCAAGTGGCCAGTTAGATGCTGCTAATGTGATAAAAGATGTGACATTAACAACACCTAAACGAGCAGAAAAATATAGAAAGGCTTATAAAGAAACGTCAAAATCAGTTATGCCACAGAAGTAATTACTATTGAAACCAAGAACAAAGAAAATCAAATAAAATCATTGATTCCTTCTTCTTTTATTTTTAATGATCGTGAAGTGGTAGTAAATTATCAATTATTATTTACAATGGTCGACGGAAAAGTATGCAATGCAGTGTGTGATAATAAATCCACGTTAAAATATTACATTTGTGGTGCAACATCTAAGGATTTTAATGACATTAATAATATAACTCGTATAAGAATCGACGAATCGAACATAAAGTTAAATTTTGGGCTATCTATATTACATGCCTGGATACGATTTTTTGAATGTTTGCTTCATTTAGCTTACAAATTAAATGTAAAAAAATGGCGAGTATTAGATAGCAAAAGTAAGGAAGTTATTAAAACTAATAAAATTAGAATTCAACAAGAATTTAAATCACAATTAGGACTAATAGTAGATAAACCAAAACCTGGGTTCGGTTCCTCAAATGATGGAAATACGGCACGCAGTTTTTTTGAAAATTCTTTCATATCATCTTCTATAACTGGAATAGATGAAGGTATAATAAAACAATTTCAAGTTGTACTTTTAGTCATATCAAGTGGTTATAATATAAATGTGAATAAATTCAAAATTTTTACTCTTGATACGGCAAAAAACTTTGTCAATAAATATCCATGGTATCCAATGTCTACAGCTGTACATAAAATTTTAATTCATAGTTCAGAAGTTATATCGTCTTGTATCTTGCCTATTGGTCAATTGTCCGAGGAAGCGCAAGAGGCACGTAATAAGAATTTTAGAAAATATCGTGAGGACTTTTCACGTAAAATGTCAAGAAAAGTTACAATGGAAGACGTTTTCAATCGTCTTCTTGTATCATCAGATCCATATATATCTAGTATGAGAAACCTGCCAAAAAAAGAACTGAAAACTTATTCTAAAGAAGTTTTAGACTTGTTACAACCTCCTGATTATAATTTAGACACCGAAAAAAATATTAACGATTCCAGTTCAGATTCTGAATATAATTCCAGTACAGATATTAGCGACTAGCGAATGGAAGTTTATTTTTTAAAAAATGTTTATTTATTTTTTATTTTTTGTATGTTGTATTTCTTATTTTAAAGATAATGTACAAAATCATAAGTTTATTTATAACTTGCTCTAAAAATAAATTAAATTTGCAACTTTAATGAATATTAATAATGTATTATCACCTTGGAATGTTATTTAAGTTATGACCATGTTTTTCCTTAAATACGCCACTGTGGGGTGTGTGTAAGGCCGTCTAAGTCGCCCATGATCTCAATCACCATAGGTACCGTCATTCTCTCTCGTTCAGTCATCGGTATAAGTTAGTTTGTAAGTTGTGACCTGATCGTTTAGTATTAGTATTTTATCCAATTTGTGTGAACTCTACTGGTCATTGCACCAGACCGAATCGACCAGTAGAGCATCCCCCCTTAACTAGCCTCTTATTTCTTTTTCCCTTGTATAAACAATAAATCGCTCCGTTCCTTTATCGTTGTCGTCACTGTGTCACCACAGCCGCCGGCCATTATCGCGGAGTCATTCAATAGCCATTATGTTGCCTGCACAAACAACACGTGG